TGCTTCCTGGAGGTGGAGGCCTGGTCGAGGACTGGGCCGCGGGGACACTAAAAGCCCCGAAATCATCTCAAGATAACCTCAAGATAACCCTCCCTCCCTCTGGTCGGGTTTTTTTTTGTGTGTGGTTTTGACATCCAGCCTAAGAACTGGGATGTGCATAGCTAGCTCGGGGAGTCTGAGGCTTCCCCTTCCCTCTCCCGCAGAAAGGGGAGCTGAACAGACAAGCTGCATGGCGACTTTATGACGTCTTACTCGTTTGCTCGTTTTTGTTTGGGGAGCTCTGTCCACTAGTTGGGCTTTCAGTAGCTATTTCTTAACCAGAATAGGGGCTTGTTTTGGGATGCTTACCTTTCTGGGTGCCTGACCCAGTTGGTGGCAGACATAGAATGCTTCCAACCACACAGGGGGTTTCTATAATCCATTACTCCTCGTGCCTCTTGGGAGGGGGGGGGGGGGGCAGGTTCTGGCTTGTGGTCCCCAGAAGGCCTAAACACTCCATTCATATGACTGATGCCAAAGTCTAATATATCCATATCAGCCTGGATAGCTCCAGGGAGCCTCCAGGTCTTACCCAGAAAATGGCGTTTCATTACATTCAACGCTGTTTTTTTTATGTGAAGTAATTAATCAGAATAATTGAAGCTCCTGTAGTTAGGTTTTATGAAACTAAGTGGATGGAGCAAAAAATGAATACTGTAATGGAGTTTAATGATAACAAATACCATATAATGAATATGGGGAGAATGGGAATAGGCCTCATGAAAACTACGAACTGTTATAAAATTCTAAGGAAATCAGATAAAGAAATTATCTAAAGGCAGTCATAAAAAACACTGTACTTGATCACAATTGTTTTTATAAATGCTAAAGTTTGAGAGTCTTTTGCAATTTTGTAATAGCCTTTAAGTATATACTGTAGTTGAAGATATGTTGAAGGAATTATTTTTTACAATACACAGTATGGCAAACCCAAAATAGCGTTTACAGTTGTGGTATGGTGCTCATTCCCTAAAAAAAATTAACAAAATAGAAAAAGGCATGCAACAAAAAATGAACTCCAGAATTTAAAAATATGAGTTATGAGGTATGATTATGGGCTCTGTTCTTAACCAAACTGAAAACAAAACAAAAAAATACATGATAACTACACACGTACAATAAAATGGAAGGCACACATACAAGTTTGTAAAGGAATATGAGACAACAAAACGAAAGAGTTTTTGAAACTATTTTAAGTAAGCTTAAGTAGCAATCATAGATGTAAACTACAATACAGGATACCCTAAAAGGTTTAGAAAAGATAATAGGAAATAGTTTTCTGGAGGTGGCTCCAAAAAAGCTTTGGGGATTCTTGGTGGCTCCCTGACGCTATCTCACTGAGATTGCTCTTATCGCAACAACACATTAGTCACAGGAGTTCTGTTTGGCCTACCAGAGACTAGTGCCAGAACATGGCTCCCCTCACAAGAGGTGCAGAGATCTGCTGAGGTTATGGTTCAAAGTCCCCGCCAGATAAGTTTTTCTGCACATGTGTATTGGCACAATTACATTGGGAGAAGAATCCTCAGTATAAAGATACTGTAAAAACAAGTGCTTAATATTGATAAGGGAGACTATTTCAAGAACATTCTCTGACTGGAAAGCATGTTGAAAATTTAAGTGTTAAATTTGGAAAATCAGTTTAAAGAAAATAAGAAATAAAAAGAAAAATGTGTAACCAGGAATCATTGGAATGTTTGAGGAAAGGAGAGTAAATACAGTGGAACTGTTCGGATGGTCATCCTACATGTTAGCTCAAGTTGTATGGTCGTCCCACATTTTAACTTTAGTGCAGTGATGTGATTGTTGTAATTGTGGCACTACTTTAAACTCTAGTTAGGAATAGGATTGATTACTTATGTCCCAGTTGCATCTGGCAATTGTAATTACATCAGTAATTACCTAAGTGTAGTTACAGGATGATAACTACGCTCATGGTGTCCCGTCTACCCAGCACCCTTTGTCATATAACGCTTTGAAACTACTGACGGTTTTGGCCTCCACCACCTTCTCACCTAACCTGTTCCAACCATCTACCACTCTGTTTTTGAAAGTGAATTTTCTTATATTTCTGCGGCAGTTTTGTTTAGTTAGCTTAAATCTATGACCTCTTGTTCTTAACATGATTGTGTATAATTCTCCATCTTTTGTGTAGGCCTGTAATAAACTTATGTTTGGTATTATTCTTGGTCACTTGGCTTGTTAAATGTTGTTCATCCGGGTTGTATAATTTCTAGTGTAAAGTAGATATAACTGTGAACTAGAGCCCAGTAAGAAAACACTTCATGTGTACCAGATTAAAGTACAGTACCTGTACAGGGGTACCTCAGTTTACGAATTTAATCCGTTCCTGGAGGCGGTTCGTAACCTGAAAATTCGTAAGCCGAAGCAAATTTCCCCATAAGAAATAATGGGAAATGAATTAAACCGTTCCTGACTCCCCAAAAAATTAACTTCAAAGTAAATTTTATACCTAATTCATCCTAATCTTGACTACAAAAGTATGTACACGTTATTACTTACCTTTACTGATGACTCCTGTTGGCGTATGGAAGACAGTGTGAAGGGGGGAGGAGGAGAGGTGTTATTGAATGGAAGGGGGAGTTAGGCAGTGAGGACTTCTCTGGGGTGCACTCTCTGGCATGTTTTGCCTGCATACCACTAGGACTTGCTTCTGGCTCACTGCATGATTTTCTCATCGTTTTTCTTGAAGATTGTTTTCCCTTCTTTATAACACTTGTCTGTAGTGAGACGTCACATTGTTAGTGTAAGATCAGTGCAACAGCCTGCTAAAGCTTTATCTGAGTGATTCTCTTCAGCAGATCTTTGCTGTTCTTCCCATACAGCACACATTTTCTCAATTAATGAGGAAGGGACATCCTCTACTGCCTCCTCCTCCTCATGAAGATTTGTTATACTGCCTAGCTAGTTCAACAACATGTGTACCATTTTCATATTTACGAATGATCTCTTGTTTTTTCTCTATGGTCATTCTCACATGTGTTTTCTTGCCTTGAACCTTACCACTGGCTTTCTTGGCTTTCTGAGGCTTGACCCATGGCGAGATATATATAATAACTTTTATGTTCAAATAGCCAAAAATCCAGAAAAAACTGTAAATCCTTGCAAAGAATTCAGGCGGGATAGTCACTAGGCGGGAGGCACTGGTAAACTGAGGCACGATCGCCGTGCCACCACGTGCTAAATCGGCCATACACGTATCAACAAACTCATTCCCGAGGTAAAGTTCGTAACCCGCTTCAAATTTTCCGAAGAAATCGGGCTTGTAACCCAAAAAGATCGTAAAGAGGGGCATTCGTAAACCGAGGTATCACTGTATTAGTATTTGGAGTTTTAGAGTATACTTTTTTGTTGAGTACAATAAGTCCAAGTTTTGTGGGACTAGTAATCTTTTGTAAAGTTCTCATTCAGTAATGGTTAACAGCTATGCTCCAGATTTATGTTGTACATACCTCTAAGCTTAAGATTATAGAAATAAACCCCTTTGTGATTTTAGAGGTTATTATTTTTAAAAGCCCTTTTACCCGATATAACTGTCTTTAACTTTCAGTACAAAGTACAAGCTCTGCATAAAGTATGTCCTGATGACCTGGTATATGACTGAGTATTGCGGTCTTCCAAAGAGAACTTACTAATTCCTATAGAGATTATATAATAGATAAACTAACTATAAAGCTGTAGTGCTTGAATGAAGGTGAAGAAAAGACCCAATTTATGTTTGTGTATTAAAAACCAAATTTATTGATGTAACATGTTTCCTTTCTCAAGGTACTGTATACAGTGTTTCCTGTATACAAGGAACATTTTATACAGTATAAAAACATACCTTGAGAAAGGATATAAGTTACATCTGAAAATGTAGTTTTTAATGCACATAAACATACATTGGATCTTTCCTTCACCTTCATTATATTATATTTACATACACTTATAGCAAGGTCGGGTAGAAACACACCAGTGCCCTTACACTGCTATAGTTACCACGTGGGATGACCATCTGAATAATTTAAAGGCCTTGAGAAAGTGAACGAACATCGGCTTGTCTTTACTCTCCATTCCTCAAGCGTTCCAATGTTTTCTAGTTCCACATTTTCTTTTTATTTCTTATTTAGTTTAAACTGATTTTCCATATTTAACACTTATTTATTTAATTTTCCATATTTAACATATTTTCAACATGTTTTCCAGTCACAGAATGTACTTGAAATAGTAGTTTTTATCAATATTAAGCACTTGTTTATATCTTTTTACATAGGATTGTTCTCCCAATGCAATTGTGCTAATACACATGTGCAGAAAAACTGATCTGGCGGGAGGCTTTGAACTGTAACTTCTTTTAACCCAACCATTAGTTCACATAATAATTACAAAAGTTCCTTCCTAACAGTCTTCACTCAACTTACATTTCATTATATTATTGCCAAGGTCAGGGATGTGATTAATACAAATTTGATATACATTATCATAAATATTTATATAGTGTATATGAAAATACAGTACTGTATTGTCAGTGTTTCTACCACAATTTTTTTTAATATACATTTCCCAGTGAAATGGTATGTTCATTAATATACCTGATGCCTTTTGTACTTGTTTATTGTGCTTCATCAGTACACTTAATAACTTTTTACACATGGTGAACGAAGTTGGGTGTAGTATCAGAATTTTTATTACATTTCAAATATTGAAACATAAACTGACTACAAATAATATACAGGTATCATGTTGCATATATGTAACTTAGGGCACTTAGTATTTAATATTTCAACACACTTGAAGCTACATTGCACACTTCTTACACAAGCTATGTACATTATTCAGATAGTAAATGAGGATGCTAGTGTTTACAGCTACATCGAATTATAGTTTGCATGTAAATAATTGGCAATGTATGTTTGAATTTGACTGCTCTTGTTAACTGCCGAAATTTTCTCTTTCAGATGAACAACGAGAACCATGTATGTCATCTATGAAGAATCTGTGGGAGCGTGTAGGATGCACCAAGCACCACGACCCACATCAAAAATATATGCCTGTGTTGGTGTGACACAAGCTGTAACAAGGGCTGTGACCTGTGACTTGTAACTTTCCTGCCTGGCTTGACCTGATGAGAGGTGGAAACCTCAAAGATTAGAGGTGGCCTTGAACTGTTTGTGGCTTCTCTGATCAGTGTTGTATTCAAGGTATTGTGGTCAGCAGTTAGCACTGTTTAATGACGTTTGCTAATTATAAACGATATATGATCTGTAATGCAAACGAAGAATGGTTATTCACTGGTACAGCACATTGAAAGCTTGATCAATGTACGCCAGCTTCTGGAGTTTATGATTGAAGGAGTTTTTAGAGATTTGTTAAAGGTAAACACAAAAGGGTTCAACCACATAAGGATGCTTGGAAAGTATTGGGTGTTAGCTTATGGAAGTTGTTAGGAAGACCTCTGCTGGAATGAAAGGAGGTGGCTGAGATGGTAGAGATGTATGTGAGAGTGCTCTTGAGAAGTAAGAACAATTCACTAAACCAGTTCAGAAAAATGAGTCATGCAATATATAAGAACTACTCATCAATTAATATTTTCTTTAGGTAGTAAGCAAAACATTGGATTACTTTGACTCGAGGCTTATTAATAGTCACATTGTGAACAGTACATTAACCAGAGTAACCATTTAATTTGCTTGAATGTGAGTTTTGCTGTGAATACAGAATTCATTGTAAAAATGAGAGTTATCATGTTTTCAAAAATGAGAAGATCGCTTTTGGCATAAAAGATCAGCTTGCACTGTTAGTTAGCCATAAAGAGTCAGAAAATCTATAATTAATCCCAGACATATAGCGGGAAATCTTTTTTTATTTTAAAATATAGTGTTTATTAAAAAATAAATTTGAGTAACTGAGCAAACCTCTAATACATATGACAGGAGCTCGTTTCCTTTTTGTAGTGACTAACTAGAGGCAATTATGCATGTGTTCACTTGAGCCATGATATTGGATTATAAGAAAATGGTTTACAACGTAAACCTTGTCTTGTTGTCTCTGACAATGTCAGAGACAAAGACAGCTAGATGAATCAGTGTGGCTCCTATTTGTAACTTCTAGCCAAGCATAAATTCAACTGACTTAATTTAACCGTAAAATATTTGCAGGTTGAAGCTGATAATATGCACGTATAACTTTGAATAACTAAAGAGTATATGCCATTTGTCATATGATATTGATTATTAAACAATATTTGCAATGTTTGCATATTTAGCCGACCATGACACAGCCCAGCTCAAGTGTGCACTTGCTGCCACAGTCCATACAACTCTGCAACAATATGTTATGTGCCTCTCACTTCACTCTGGTCAACTTGCTAGTCCATTACTGACTAGTTCTTAGTCAGTCTTAATGATTTGCTGTGACTCATGACCAGTTAACTATTTTTAAGCAACTCACTGTAGCTTGATGTTATCACCCACATGTTTTACTGCATTTATATTACTTAAAGTACTGTGCTTTAAATATAAACTGTTGGATCTTGAGCTTCATTGCTGTGACAAGAGAGAGAGAGAGAGAATTGACAAAGTATGACAAGTAATTAGGAATTCATATGCTACTAAGACAAACACATCCCAGAAGTCAATTTAATGCCAGAGGCTGAGGCTAAAATCAAACTCTCATAAGACACAGAACTTGCCCTGAAAACCGCCACAATGAGCCCTTATATTGTAGAATACACATGAAACCTACCAACTATATGGAATATAAAGAATTTGTGACATGTGACTGATATTGGCTGTGACATGATAGACATGCATGATTGATTCAACTTATACAGACATTATGGTAAGTTAATGGTCCATAAGATGCAGGAGAATCTTTCAAGATCTGTGTAGGCAAGTTTTAGTGGAATAATTGGCATGAGAGACATGAATTGCAAGAGATTGAGACCTATACATTATTTAGCTTGTGAGACTTGTTAATTGTGAAAGTTGTGAGGGTCTTGTAAATTGTAAGAAATATGAGTAATTGTTAAATTTAAAGAATGAGAGATGCGAGATATTTTTGTTATGCATAAGGTGTAAGAGGGACTATGGCCTGTTTTGAGACATGTAAGACATCTGAACTCTGGCACAAAGATCTTAAAGACTGTAGAAGATATGAAGTTGTTATAAATCATTCAACAAATGATGGATTTGTCAAGTATGTAGACTGGAAAAGTTTTTCAACTGTATTAAAGACAGTTAGATATCCTGCAGATTGGAGGATATCTGAGGAAGTTGTTAATAACAAAATACATGAAGGATTTGTGGACTGAAAGAGGCACAAGTGACTTCAATTTCATGCACCATGTGAAATATTTAGATAGTCTGAGGCACAGTAAACACCTGTGTATTATGTATGTCACTGGGAACTATATATTTTGTCTCTGTGTGCATTTTTAGAGCATAAAGTTGTTGTAAAGCCATAATTACATTCACATGGCTGACAGAGACACATTTCACTAGAGGTAAGTCCCTATGTTCTGTGAATCATCAAATCAATCATTGATTAATTTTTATCCATGTAATGCAAATTATCCCCAAGGTGTTATCAATCTTCACAATATAATAAATTTCTGTCGTGAAATTAATCCAGCTCTCAGTTTTTAGTTGACTTCATGAGTTTTTCAATTACAGAACTGGTGTTAAGGAATATAATTTATTGATGCAATTTAGGACCTGTTAATAAACTAAGTGCCTAGCAGGTAGATCAGTCTTATATTCTTTTGAGGTAACTTTACTGTTTTTTATAAATCTCTGATCCTTCATATTGTTTGTATGTAATATATTGATAATCCATTCAGAGTTTAGATGAAAAGTACTTAATTTCAGTAACTAAGCATCTCACTTAATTCTTATGGTATCTGGCTTGATCAGCTTATTAGTACCTCACCTGAGTACTGAAATAGGGTATCTAGCCTAATCAGCTTATTAGTACCTCACCTGAGTAACATGGTACTGTATCTCACTTGATCAACTTAGTACCTCGAGTAACTTGGTAATACATTTGATCACCTTAATGTCATCTTGCTTGACTATTATGGTACATTGTTTAAGCAACTTGATGCACATTATCACCTTAGTCATCACCTGAGGAGCTTGATATTACAGTGGCTATCATAATGTCTTGATTAGTTTAATGCCAGAGCATTGTAGGTCAAACTTATAATTTTATTGCAGTTTTATTTTACTATTTTGATTCACTTAAGAAATTATCATTGTCTCATTTGAATAACGATAACTCACTAAAGGATCTTATTAATTCAGTTGAGTATTAAATGTCAAGTTGGGTATCTAACTTGGGTACTTGGGAATCTAAATCCCTATTGTTAATAAACTGGCCAACTTCTCGGTTAATGGGCAACAATGGGCAACATGGTGTTTCATAAAATTTAATGGTCTATACTTTATGGGCCTTAAGGTAAAAAATATCCGCATAAGTTTGTATTTTATCTAGACAAATTTGTGTATTATTAGTGTAATTAGTGAAACTAGTTTAGTTACCTGGAGCTTTATCTTGTTCTCAGCCTAATTTTATGATCAAAGGGGGTGAAGGAAGTTTCATTACTGTCACAATATGGTTTATCAAATTTTCAAATTCTATTTTGTATCAGTGGTAAAATTTTAACAGGATTATTCTGCCTCATGAAGGATGGACAACTTAGAATACACAACAATGAATACTTTATTGTGATATGATATTTGGAAAGTTTATCTTTAAGTTTAGCAGCTCAACAGTTACCTATGTAACATTATGTCCTATATGTAAAATAATTTCCTTCACAAAAATGTTAAAGTTGAACAAGGTTCATCCATGTTGCCTCCCAGTGTTTGACCAATGTTCTGTCTATATTCTGATCATGATGCTGCTTCCAAAGTACAGGTCCATAGTTTGGACTATCTTTTGGTCTTCTTGTAGTCTAGTGAGCAAAGCCATAGTTGTATTTATATATTTATGATTTGTGCTTGTCCTAGTGTGCAGGACTATGTGTCATGTTTATTGGACCTTTACTGCTGCAGTTATTTTATACCAACCAGCAGTAAAATGATATACAGTACTCACAAGATCATCATTTCATATTTATGGGCTGTTTATTCGCTATGCCAGTACAGAATAACCTGAATAACAATACTTAAAAATTGAACACTTGTTTAATTCTTCCTATAGTTATAGTTTTTAATTGGGAATCAAAGTTGACAGTTTGTTACGAAAGTTATGTTATACTAAATATCCATAAATGGAATGAAGAACAACAGACTGAAGCAAATAATAAATGACCTTTTACAATAATCAGATTTTAGAAATAGGAAGAGATTTGTTTTTGCATAAAGACTGCTTCATGAGTGAACTAAACAAATACTGTATCTTAATTCTGAGTGTTACTTGAGCAGCATCCAAATATACAAATGTTTGGTGAAGTGAAAAATTGTAAAGCGGTTGACACAAATTTATTAAAACTGTACAACTAATCACTGCCAACTGGTACAAAACGTTACTTTTCAAATGCCTTTTCCAAGTGATAATTGACATCAAAATAACTGCCAAAGTAGAGACTTTGACTGCCAAAGTAGTCTCAAAGTAGAGAGACTACGGGAATTAAACCTCACATCACTGGGAGACAGAAGAGTTAGAGGGGACATGTTCACCACATACAAGATTCTCAGAGGAATTGATAGGGTAGATAAAGACAGACTATTTAACACAAGGGGTACATGTACTAGGGGACACAGGTGGAAATTGAGTGCCCAAATGAGCCATAGAGATGTTAGAAAGAATTTTTTTGGTGTCAGAGTAGTAGACAAATGGAAAGCATTAGGAAGTGATGTGGTGGAGGCTGACTCCATACACAGCTTCAAGTGTAGATATGATAGAGCCCAGTAGGCTCATGAACCTGTACAGTAGATGACTGACAGTTGAGGCGGGACCAAAGTGCCAGAGCTCAACTAGGAAATAACTAAGTAAGCACACACAATTATATGAACATGTTTACTGATGATGCTAAGGTAATAGAGAAGATATGATGACTTGTCATGCCCTTCAAGAAGACCTGGACAAAATAAGTATATGGAGCACCACTTGGCAAATGGAATTTAATGTGAATAAATGCCATATTATGATATGTGGAATAAGAGAACATAGACCCTCACACAACCTATAAATTATGTGAGAAATCCTTAAAGAATTCTGTTAAAATAAGAGATCTAGGGGTGGTTCTAGATAAAAAAAAAAACTCACCTGAGTACCACATAAAGAACATTGTGCCAGGAACAAATCCCCAAGGGCCATGATGAGGATTCGAACGTACGTGTGTGTGTGTGTGTGTGTGTGTGTGTGTGTGTTTGTTTTGTGTGTGTTGTGTGTGTGTGTTTGTTTTGTGTGTGTTGTTGTGTGTGTGTGTGTTGTGTGTGTGTGTGTGTGTGTGTGTGTGTGTAATTACCTAAGTGTAGTTACAGGATGAGAGCTACGCTCGTGGTGTCCCGTCTTCCCAGCACTCTTTGTCATATAACGCTTTGAAACTACTGACGGTCTTGGCCTCCACCACCTTCTCACTTAACTTGTTCCAACCGTCTACCACCCTATTTGCAAAGGTGAATTTTCTTATATTTCTTCGGCATCTGTGTTTAGCTAGTTTAAATCTATGACCTCTTGTTCTTGAAGTTCCAGGTCTCAGGAAGTCTTCCCTGTCGATTTTATCAATTCCTGTTACTATTTTGTACGTAGTGATCATATCACCTCTTTTTTCTTCTGTCTTCTAGTTTTGGCATATTTAATGCTTCTAACCTCTCCTCGTAGCTCTTGCCCTTCAGTTCTGGGAGCCACTTAGTAGCATGTCTTTGCACCTTTTCCAGTTTGTTGATGTGCTTCTTAAGATATGGGCACCACACAACAGCTGCATATTCTAGCTTTGGCCTAACAAAAGTCATGAACAATTTCTTTAGTATATCGCCATCCATGTATTTAAATGCAATTCTGAAGTTAGAAAGCATTGCATAGGCTCCTTGCACAATATTCTTTATGTAGTCCTCAGGTGATAGTTTTCTATCTAGGACCACTCCTAGATCTCTTTCTTTATCAGAATTCTTTAAAGATTTCTCACATAATATATACTGTAGGTTGTGTGGGGTCTATGTTCTCCTATTCCACATTCCATAACATGACATTTATTTACATTAAATTCCATTTGCCAAGTGGTGCTCCATATACTTATTTTGTCCAGGTCTTCTTGAAGGGCATGACAGTCATCTAAATTTCTTATCCTTCCTATTATCTTAGCATCATCAGCAAACATGTTCATATAATTCTGTATACCAACTGGTAGATCATTTATGTAGACAATAAACATCACTGGTGCAAGAACTGAACCCTGTGGTACTCCACTTGTGACATTTCTCCATTCCGATACATTGCCTCTGATTACTGCCCTCATTTTTCTATCAGTCAGAAAATTTATCATCCATGTTAGAAGCTTACCTGTCACCCCTCCAATATTTTCCAGTTTCCAGAACAACCTCTTATGTGGAACTCTGTCGAAAGCCTTTTTTAGGTCCCGATAGATGCAGTCAACCCAACCATCTCTTTCCTGTAATATCTCTGTGGCTCGATCATAGAAACTGAGTAAATTCGATACACAGGATCTTCCAGATCGAAAACCATACTGTCTGTCTGATATTATATCATTTCTCTCCAGGTGTTCTACCCATTTGTGTGTGTGTGTGTGTGTGTATATGTGTGTGTGTGTATATATATATATATATATATATATATATATATATATTAGTATATTTTGGTAGCAGTCTTTCCTGTAGACATATATTATTAAATATGACCGAAAAAGTAAGATTAATAATTCTAACACGAATTTTCTCAATCTTTCGTACATTACGCTTCACTGTTGGAGGTAAATCAAAAATCACTTCTCCAAAATTCATTTTTATTTCTAGTCTGACGCGACACGGGCGCGTTTCGTAAAACTTATTACATTTTCAAAGACTTCACAAATACACAACTGATTAGAACTTACGTTTCTCTGATTTTATATCTACATTTGAGTGAGGTGGGAGGGGTGATGTGGCATTAACACAAGACAGAACGAGAGAGGATATTAATAGGGTATTAAAAGTATCAACACAAGACAGAACAGAAACAATGGGTATTGAATAGAAGTGTTTGTAGAAAGCCTATTGGTCCATATTTCTTGATGCTTCTATATTGGAGCGGAGTCTTGAGGTGGGTAGAATATAGTTGTGCAATAATTGGCTGTTGATTGCTGGTGTTGACTTCTTGATGTGTAGTGCCTCGCAAACGTCAAGCCGCCTGCTATCGCTGTATCTATCGATGAAACAACTAAACAACACAGAAATCTAAACGCTGTATCGCTGTATCTAAACAACACAGAAATCATCGATAGATACAGCGATAGCAGGCGGCTCGACGTTTGCGAGGCACTACACATCAAGAAGTCAACACCAGCAATCAACAGCCAATTATTGCACAACTATATTCTACCCACCTCAAGACTCCGCTCCAATATAGAAGCATCAAGAAATATGGACCAATAGGCTTTCTACAAACACTTCTATTCAATACCCATTGTTTCTGTTCTGTCTTGTGTTGATACTTTTAATACCCTATTAATATCCTCTCTCGTTCTGTCTTGTGTTAATGCCACATCACCCCTCCCACCTCACTCAAATGTAGATATAAAATCAGAGAAACGTAAGTTCTAATCAGTTGTGTATTTGTGAAGTCTTTGAAAATGTAATAAGTTTTACGAAACGCGCCCGTGTCGCGTCAGACTAGAAATAAAAATGAATTTTGGAGAAGTGATTTTTGATTTACCTCCAACAGTGAAGCGTAATGTACGAAAGATTGAGAAAATTCGTGTTAGAATTATTAATCTTACTTTTTCGGTCATATTTAATAATATATATATATATATATATATATATATATATATATATATATATATATATATATATATATATATATATATATATATATATATATATATATATATATATATATATATATATATATATATATATATATAATATATAAAAGGGGGGGTTCCGGAGAAGACCCCCTAACTTGCACGGATGCCCCAGCCTGAAGGGCTCTATCCACAATACAATACACAATACAATTTTATTTAGGTAAGGTACATACATACAATAAATATTTACAAGGATTGTTTAACTTATAGGTATAGCTAGTACATACAATGCCTAAAGCCACTATTACGCAAAGCGTTTCGGGCATGAATATATATATCCCTTTGAGATGTATTTATTGCTCATCTCAATAAACATACTTGAACTGAAGGGCTCCTTGCCCTACAGAGCAAGTGTATATGGTGCTTCTCCAACGCCTGGCTTCCATAAACGCCACTTTTGGCGGTCGACTAGTTGCCTCTGCTTGCTTGGTGTCCTACTGCATACGTGTCCGTAATGTTCGAATCTGCCATTAAAAACAAAACAGGTCTCTGAAATAAAAAAAAAGTAGCGCCATTGTTTATTGTCCAACCTGTCATAGCTATAAAGTTATGGATGACTATGCTCGCCGAAACCGTAAATGCCAAGATATTACAATTAAAAATCCAGCTGGAAAAAATCACAAGGAAAATGGGGGTAATTTTTCAGAAGTCGTGGGATTGCTCCCCACCTCGAGGCTACTAAAGTAATGGCGACCTTCAGGTAAACTATAGCCGCCGCTGGCGGCAACAATAAATAACCAAAAAGTGTTTTGTTTGACACATTTCATTGTGATAAGTAATATTTTTATCGGCTTTCAGCCTCTTTTGAGTTTTCGAAGGAATGTTATGTCACATAAAAGTTTTGTTCATTGAAATTGAAATAAGTTTATTGAGGTAAAATACACACAAAGGGATGAAGTAGCTCAAGCTATTCTCACCCCGTTCAGTACATCGTGTTAATACATACATAGACACACATCACTAGCAATAAACATATTGCCAAACATTCTGAGAAATAAACATATACATTTCCTAGTTTTGTTCGTGTAATTCTAGGTATATTGTAGGGGGCGTGGGAGGGTTGGGGTGCCAGCAAGAGACAAGGTGGCGAGGTTCGTCAACTGTGGCTGGAACACGACACTTGTTGTGGTCCCTCGCCACTCGCTCTGTGTACACTCTACACTCTCCTTATAACTCGATAATGTTTTGAATTAATAATTTTATCCAATGCGCAAGGTTGATTTAGCCGTGTTTTTTACTGCAGGGCGTCAGGAAACGTCATATTAATGGTGAGAAGAACGTTTTATTGTGAGGGAATAATTGGTGGTTTAAGAGTAGTAGTTATGTGACCTGTATAGTTGGGTGAGGAAGTGGCCACACTTGACCTGGTCTGGCCTTGGCCCGCCGTCTCATGACCAATATATTGTTTATGAATGGCTTAATTTCGAGCTTAGAATCGCCACTTTCTTGGTGATGTTATCAAAGTCAAGTGTATAGCTGCCTCTTCACTACCTGGGTATCTCGTGAATTTTTGCATATACAGTACTGTACTGTAATTTATTTGATGATTAGGAAACATATTTTTTGTTTGCTGCCACTTTTTATCCTTCACTTAATGTGAACTGTCAAAATTGAAAAAAAATTAAATTGTCTTTTAAACATCTACTAAATATAATATATAATTTAATCGGAGTGCAAGGCAGCTGTGTAAATTATTTGTATATCATTTGTGCTATCCTTGATATTTAAATGCATTATTTCACTCATTACATTCAACATTTGTTATAACTACCACAGAAGTAATTAAATTAAAAAATTATCCAACTTAAATCTCCTTCTGGTGCATTCTTTTGATAATTACAGCACTTATTTCATTGTTATTTATTTATTTATTTATATACAAGAATGTACATTGGGTTGTGAGAACACATAACACTGGTGTTAGAGGATTACATTCTTGCCAAGCACTTAACACACACACTGTATCAGGCAGGTCCTTAATCAAAGTAATAAAAGTAAAAGTATTAATAGGTACAGTACATTGAAGCAGAATTTGAGTGCAACATAATAATTACAATATAAATGGATAGCATTGATTATACTGGTGAAGTTGCAAGTCTTATGTACTAATATTGAGGAAGTGGGTAGTACAAGTTACAGGGTGAGTTTGAAGCACAAGGTAGGACACTATGAGGATGAAATTAGGTACTTTTTGGCTTTACTTTTGAATAAGGCATAGGTTGGAAAATAATATAGTAATAATTTTTATTTGCAAGAAGGTACAATGGGTTTGTGAGATTACACAAGATTAGTATTTTTACATTCTTGCAAAGCCACTAACACGCATAGCGTTTCGGGCAGATTCTTAATCTAACATATCAGATAAGTTGAAAAGGTACATTGCAACAAGGTTTTATGTTAACAAGTAACTACAATGTACATTGACAGAGATGATTACACTGGTAAAGATATGTCTTTAGTACTGATATTGGGGAAGTGGGTAGTACATCATACATTGTGAGTTTGAAGTACAAGGTAAGAAACTATGAGAATGAATATTAGGTACTTTTGGTTTTTCTTTTGAACAGGTGGGGGGTTGGACAATTTTTTAATTCATCAAGGAGTGAGTTCCATAGACTGGGCCCTTTTATTTGCATGAAACGTTTGCACAGATTTAGTTTGACTCTTGGGGGGGGGGATACTAAAGAGATGTTTATTTCTGGTGTGGTGCTCATGGATTCTATTACATCTATCGAAGAAGAGTTTCAGTTCCGGATTAGTATTTGGGAATAAGGTTTTGTACATGTAAATAGCACAAGAGAATGTGTAGAGTGAATATATGTTTAGCATGTTTAGGGATTTAAACAAAACCCCATGCACAGATACCACATGGAAGATAGGTATTGGTTAGCAAGTAGTACTGTATAGTGAAAGGAGAGCAGAGTGGTGAACATAATATCTGATTTTAAAGATTATACCAATAGTTTTTGAGACTTTTTGGCTGTATGTTGTAAATGAGTGCTAAAGATTAGTCTCTTGTCTGTGTATAGGCCAAGGAACATTCCATCGTATTTAATGCTGAAGTTAACATTGTCTATCTAAAGGTGAATTTGTGCTCCAGAAGAATCTACCTCATCATCACTACATATCAACAAATCCATCTTTAAAATTTGCATGTGGAAGAGGAAATAATGGAAACTTTCCATGGTGAATTGAAAGTTCTTTATGTACACCCAAAATTTGTATTTCTTCATTGCTATCGCCTAACATTGTAACCTAGACATTTTCTAGGTGTGCAAACAAATGCATTTTGTTCTATTACTTTCATTGCTGTTTCCCAAACAACATTATTTGACAATCAAGTAGTTCTTTGAATCATGTTGAAAAAGTGTCATGATTCACAAGTTAACTGGCTGTTTGATTTAATTTCAAACCAAATGGGAAATACACTTAAAAATAGAATTACACCAGAGATGCCAAGTTTGATAATGGTTTATCTAATGACACGTAGTATCGAAGGATTCTGCAGCCAATTGTTAACCAGCATGAATGCACAATAGGACCAATCTCCAGATATTTCAGATCATTGTCAACTGTTCCCAAAATAATTGCCAAACATATCCTGTAAGCATAGTACTGATTTACACTGAGGTCATCAACAACAGACTGCTTCAGCTCTGGTAAGGGGGGGGAGGGGAGTTTGATGGAGGGGAGTTGCTTGAATTGAGCAACTGGCCAATTTGACACATCTCCACTCAAACTTTTCCTAATAGGTCCTGTGAATGAGTTGGGAATATTTGTGGTTCCATCAAGAGTCACAAACACATGATGCAACAAAAGTGCATTGATATATAGAAGGCAAATAACCTTTTGAAGTGACTTGCCTAACAACTCTTCTAATCCTGGAATGCAACCAGTGTATGTGCCGGTCATAGATGCAATACCATCAGTACAATCAATTGCAAGCTTATCGTGTAATTCAGTGACCTTCAAGGAATTAAACAGCCCTTGTGTAATAGTTCTGCCTTTACTGTCATCGGGAAAAAATAAATGAGGTACTATAATACTGTATCTCAAGAACCTGGCCTCGGGCTTGGCTCACGGAGTAGTAGAACTCCCAAAACTCTCTCCAGATAATATTCAACTGGCTCTCTAACTATAGTATAGTGCTCCTCAAGTTGCAAAGCAAAATATATTTATTTGTTATGGTTATAATGAAAACTTAATTTATATATAATTTCACTTTACAACTGTCATAAATAAACGAAAATAATAATTAACACATGATTCAAAGGCAAAATATAGGAATTTCCCCTTTTGACCCCCCTCATATACTCGCCAAAAGGGTTTTTGCCAATAAGTTTTTCTTGCATAAATAAAGAAAAGGTTTTGCGAGCCGCTTCCATTTTCTAGTACAAAAATTATTGGCCTTATGTAATGCATACAAGAGAAATGCGACGTACTTTGTAAAAATACAGGTTGCTCCGGGAACTATGGTATGCCTCCCAGGAGAAAGTAAAGTCTGCAAAGGATCAGGCACATGATACATGGTCAACTAAGTTGGGTGCTCACACAGGATTTCAGTCCATATCTGGATATGCTCACAACCATATACAAAATGAGGAGTGCTGGAAACAGAAGGTAGGGCTATCAAGGTCAGAAAAATGCAACCATTAATAACGAAACTGCTCACAACAGAATTAAATATCAAACTAGTTGAGGCCATCATTGACCTAACCAGTTAAGCCAAAAGAACATGGGGTTAGACGATTAATTCCAGGTCAGTGACAAAATAGATCTTGGGCACAAGAGCAGCATACTCAGTGATGTATACACAAACCAAAAGAGTTGCTTAACATACAGAAAAGGGGCAAAGGCAGCCTGTGGGCCAATATAAAGTTTATTCTCTTGTTCTTAACTCTTATAATCACAATGGAAATTTGCTTCTATTTCTTCTACAGTATATGGCATTATATTCATCTGTTCATTTGGAGTAAATGACTTTCAGTGTTGTTCATATGATCAAGGCAGCCATGGAGCAGCAGCACAAAGAAAAACGGAGAGGAAGTAATATGTGTCTTGTGTGTGGTCGGCAGGGAGGTAACAATATTGTTGTTACCAGTGTCCATAGCTTTGTGTCTGCATCAGGAACTCCTCTGGCTGACTTTCTTGTTAAGGTAATGTATTATAAGTTTGCCCTATCACTATTTTTGATTGTATTGTCATTTTGTTTAAAGAAATGTGTGTTAAGTACAGTACTGTAGCTTGCAGTATTGTATACTAAATAAATAAACATCAAGCTAACTAAAAAAAAAAAGCTACCGAGAACTGGCTATGCTTTTACCATAACCAATGAGGATTTATTTTATTTACAACAAAATAAGCAGTCAATGAGTTGCTTTTGAACCTAGCAATGGCTTGTCTTGACTCACTGCAGACCATCCTCATAAACAAAGGCCAAAGTCCATTCCATGCACCCGCCAAATCCCCTATTCATGAATGAAAAGTGGTTTACACACGACTCACAACTGATGACATCCGAACACTTCTTGAACAAGTGCTTCACTGACAACTTTTGCTCGAACCACAACACTGTAAATGCTTCACCCACGTACTACAAATACAAATAATCGACAACAGAACCTAAACACCTAACTTAATCAATGCCTAAATATTCACAGTATGCTAATATATAACAATATTAATTTATATTTGAGAACTCCTATTTCGAATGAACAGCATGTTAAAATTGATGAATGCTTCTTAGGGGTCAACCACTGAATAGAATGGACTTGGTTTGAGGACGGGTTGCTCACTGACTTTCTGGATGCATTCCCTGGTAAGGTGGCGAAATGTCAGTGCTATCTACACCTCTGTTAGGGGGGCCAGGTTCTGGCTCTGGTCCCTGGTAGGTCTAAGACTGCCACAACTGATGCAACCTGGTAGATGGGAACCATCTCAGAGAATAACTTCAGGGAGCCACTGGGGCTCTCCCAGAAATTGTTGTTTCATTACATTCAACGCTGGTTTTCTGTGGGGAGCCCTGTCGGCTCCCTGAAGCTGTCTTCACTGATTAAGTGCCATACTACTTAGTGTCATCAGTTGTGGAGTTCTTTTTGCCTACTGGGGACCACGAGACAAAAAGTGGCCCCCTCAGGGAGATGCAGGGAGTGAAGGCCTATGATCACTTTACATTTAAAAGATACCATCTTTGCCATCACCAGGGAAGGCACCCAGAAAGATAGGCGAATCAAAACAAACTACTGCCTGGTTAAAAAATGTGACTGAAGTCAGGGAAGTAAACCCAGAGCACATGCAGCTTCACACGCAGTGAAGAACTCTCTAGATATAGAAGGACGAGTCCCTAGCACTTAGTACATACTGCCAGGAGTATAGCACAGCCATACTCCCATTAACCCTGAGTTAACTAACAAATAAAATGTACTTGGTAGTTTACCTCCACAATCTAATTTACCTGAATTTGTGAGGGTCACTAACACTAGTGGCCTCGACAAGAACAGGAAGCCTGCAACTTGTCAAGGTCCCCTCCCTCCCCCCATTTGCCTTGATTGTTTTTGTTTTTCATAAGTGAAGATAATACACGTGGGTAAACACATCAGAACTTGGAAGCCCAGTACTTGAATAATGTTCAGTAATCATCTCCTGTTTGCATTAAGAACATAAGAATAAAGCCTCTTTTTTAATCAGTCTTTCATGTGGTACTGTATCAAAAGCTTTGCTAAAGTCAAGGTACACATCAGAATCCTTACTACTATCAACTGCCTCAACTATGCTGGAACCAGCCCCCAGCCACTTTCGCTCAACAATTTGAAATGCTCAAATTCATGCTAAGCACGTCTCTCTTTGTTTTCCTATGATTTACATGCATCATTTAAAAACAAATAAGTCTTAAAGATTATGTGCTTATCCTTCAGAAATAAAACTTTATTTTGTAAGCATAAGATATTCATTTTATTGTGCAGAAGATTATTTTTATGATTAATGCTTTGATAATGAAAGATGCAAATAGGCAATAATGATGACTAAAGATTTATATCTGTAGGTTGTGGGTGAAGACCCATGCTACTCAGTCAGTGAGGTCATTTGCCAGCAGTGCTTTGTCCTTCTTGACCGCCTAGATGCATATCAAGCTCGTGCTGCGGAAATCCATACACATGTCACTTCCAGGTGAGTCACAAATGACACTTTTTGTGTCTGTTTGTTGTAAATGTTAGTAAAATTTATTATAGTAAAGCATGCCATATCCAATCACTTTGGGACAGTGACCATCTGATGAAGTTGTTTACAAAATATTGGTTGTCACCTCAAATTTTATGCAAAACAAAAATAGCTATTAGTCCCATATCAAACAAATGATATGGGACTTTCTCATATGAAAAGTAATGTCTCTCTCTAGATCATGAACACTTTTGCTGTTTACTATATTTTCTATGGGGGAGGTTTGTGGGTTGTGGGTTTGAAGCTCAGAGGTTTGATGCATAAATCATTATGGAAAGTTGATATACTATAATATACAATATATAATATATATATATAGTTTTCTGTTCATCATTAATGTTAATAATTATGCTTCAGATATCGGGACACTAAGCTGGAGTTGTTGGGGCAACGGCAGAGAATGAGTGAGCTAATAGCATCTTCTCTGTCCAATGTACAGGAGCTTCGACATGGAACTACCCTAAGTGAGATTTTCAACCGTCTAAACTGTACTGTATGTGTATCATATGTAAGGGATATTTGATATCTTGTGGATCATGATGTTGTGATTTTGCCTGATTAAAATTTTAATTGCTTCCATTTTACATAAGAAAATTGTGCACCATTTTTGTATAAATCTTATTCTGCATATTGTTCATTATTTAAATTGCTGTGAAATCATATATCGAGTTCTTCCTCATCTTTTCAACAAAATTGAGTATTGGAAACTAACACATTTCACTCGTCATATTTACAAACAGCATTTTATGACACCTGAAAATTGTTTCAGTGCTTGAACATAAGGTTTAGTTATACTGTATATAATACTGTAAAGTGTATTTATTATGGTGTGGTCATTACCGCTACCATAATTGTTAGGATTAAGGTCACTTAAGATTAGGTTCATAATGTTGAGAGCTAATGCTCATTTGTGTATAAGGTATATAATGTTTGTTTATGGCACTTATACCCAGTGACGTCATTGTTGTAAATAAACGTCATGCGGATCACATGTTCGTTTCTCTTCCCGCCGAATTATAACAGTGGCGACAAGGATTAACGGCAGCTAATGAGCCCGGGTTCAAGATGAGGTGAGAAGCATCAGAGAGCAGAGTACGTCACATGGATGGGCGGAAGTACATAGACAACAGTGAGTTGTGTTGAACCCATAGACATGGCTTGAACTTCCTCGACAGTGTCCCTAGTGAAAATGGAACCTTTTGATGCCTCCAAGATCTCATTGGACCTGTGGCTGAGCCTGATGGAATCAAATTTCGAGTATCACGGGATTAAGGAGGGCACAAACAAGAAATCGGTGCATTCAGTTTCCCCGGGTACAGCTGTATACAGTGGCCTCCTCCATTTATGAATTTAATCCATTCCCAGAGACGGTTTGTAAGCCGAAAATTTTCGCAACCTGAAAAAAAAATTCTATAAGAAATAATGTAAATTGAATTAATCCGTTCCACACTCCCAAAAATATTAACTTAAAAATAGATGTCATACCTAATTCACACAAATACTTAGTACTATAGTATGTTGAAGTTATAGCTTACCTTTATTGATAACTCTTGTTGGCATAGGGAAGACGGTTAGGAAGGGGGAGGAGAAGCGGTGTTAGTGCTTGAAAGGGAAGTCCCCTTCATTATAACATCAGGCAGTGATGACTTCTCTGGAATACTCTCTCTCTCTCTGGCACGTTTTGTCTGCATACCACTAGGACCTGCTTGTGGCTCACTGCTTGTTTTTCTCACTAAAAACCTTTCCATAGACTTTTTTTCCTAACATTGTAACACTTTGTAGTAAGGCATCACAGTGTCATTAAAAATGTTAAGACAACGGCCTACTACAGCTTGCTCTGGGTGAGTCATTTCAACAAAAGTTTGCTTTTCTTCCCACAGTCTACACTACTTCTTAATTGTTGAGAAAGAGATATTCTGTACTGCCTCCGCCTCCCCTGAAGACATTTCCTTGGCTGCCTCTTGTTGCTGCTTCTTGTGAAGGGTAGTCAGTTCTTCGCTGTGTCCATCTACCACCTCACAACACACAGCCTGATAGGGGCCTGATAGCTGAGTGGACAGCACTTTGGACTCATATCCTAGTGTCCGGGTTCGATTCCGGCTGATGACAGAAACAAAATGGGCAGTGTTTCATCCTGATGCCCCTGTTACCTAGCAGTAAATAGGTACCTGAAAGTTAGACAGCTGTTATGGGCTGCTTCCTGTGTATGTAATTACCTAAGTGTAGTTCCAGGATGAGAGCTACGCTTGTGGTGTCTCATCTTCCCAGCACTCTGTCATATAACGCTTTGAAACTGCTGACGGTTTTGGTCTCCTCCACCTTCTCACTTAACTTGTTCCAACCGTCTACCACTCTGTTTACAAAAGTGAATTTTCTTATATTTCTCCGGCAGCTTTGTTTCGTTAGTTTAAATCTATGACCTCTTCTTCTTGACGTTCCGAGTTTCAGGAATTCTTCCCTATCAATTTTATCGATTTCTGTTACTATTTTGTACGTAGTGATCATATCGCCTCTTTTTCTTCTATCTTCTAGTTTTTGCATATTTAATGCCTCTAATCTCTCCTCCTAGCTCTTGTCCTTCAATTCTGGGAGCCACTTAATGGCATGTCTTTGCACCTTTTCCAGTTTGTTGATGTGCTTAAGATATGGGCACCATACAACCGCTACATATTCCAGCTTTGGTTTAACAAAAGTCGTGAACAATTTCTTTAGTATTTCTCCATCCATGAATAAGGTGGGAATTTTCTTGGCTGGCCTGGATGAATTGTCTATAGTGAAAAATAATTAGTGCTGAAGATATGTTGGAAAAATATGCAGTGGATGCAGGTAAACCAATTAAACAGCATTGTGGCAAAAATTCACCTGAAAAATGGGTCTTCACCTAAATTTTTTTAAGCAAAAACAGTTCCTTTCCATTACAAGCAACTGGTTGAATCAGCCCGGGAAAGACATGTAGCAGAAGGCATTTTAGAGCCAATTACACAGTGAATGGGCAGCCCCAATTGTACCAGTGTTGAAGGCAGACTAAAAATCTATGAAAATCTGTGCTGATTTTAAAGAATTAAATGACCACATCCATTGTGAGAAGTAACCTTTACCTATGATGAGATGATGTTTGTGGTCTGCAAGGGAGCAATCTTTTCTAAGATTGACCTGAAAGATGCCTATTAGCAAATTCCTGTTGATGAGGAGATCCAGAAATTTTCAGTGATAACTACTCATAAAGGGTTATTCAAGTATAAAAAGACTTCCTTTTAAACTTTCCTCATCTCCAATAATTTTTCAGAGATTCATGTCCCAGTTGTTAGTAAACACTGAGGGTGTGGCTAGCCTTTTTGATGACATTGTATGTAGGCAGACTGAGGAAGAGCATGATACTAGATTAGTAAAACTGTTCATACTACCACTGGTAAATTTACTTCTGAAATACTGTTTAATAGGCATTTCACAGTGCACATGGGAGCAGTAAAGACAGAGCCAGATAAAGAAAAATCGGTAACTAGCTTGGCCAATCAGTTGGCTCAGGGAGAGGAAACTTTGTTTAATGAGGGGGATGCAGTATATGCAAGGAATTTTGGAATGGGTATGCCTTGGGTAGAAGGAAAAATTAATGAAGTCCTGGGCCGCAGGAATTTCACTTTGCAAATGCAGAGTTTTGGGAATATTAATTGGAAAAGACATGTAGATCAACTCATGCAAAGGTTCACCGGGAATTTTGAAGTCCCTTCGGTTGGGGATGTGACAACTAGTGATGTCCATCCCAGTAATGAAGGGGTAACACCTGCAGGGGACAAGGATTCAGAGCAAGGGTCAACAGAGGGGAATGTGGATACAGCTAACTCCCAAGACCTCTGAAGTTAGTAATTCAGAAGGTTCCCCAGAAGTAACAGGTCTGGAGCCCAAGTTGAGAAAATCAGGAAGAGTCATACGACTTCCTAATAGACTTGACCTGTAGGGGTAGTACAGTATTTAATTAAAAGGGGAGGAATGTTAGGATTATGGTACATGTATGTTGTAGGATTAAGGTCACTTAAGATTAGCTTCATAATATAATTTTGAGAGCCAATATTCATTTGTATATACCTGTAATGTTTATATTCATGGCACCTATACTCGGTGACGTCATTGTTGGTTCTAAATAAGCGTCATCCATATTACACATTTGTTTCTCTTCCCGTCGAATTATAACAATGTGTTTAATACTATGCTATTTGTAAAGTGACATTTTAAACATTTGTTGAAGCATTCTGCCTGCCATTTTGGTATTTTACAATTTTCTTGTAGAGAAAAACCATCTATAGGGTCATCATCTTTACTTACCTGTAGAAATTTTTGTCTCCATAACTAACTGGTCATGGACACATCATCTTGTTCTCTAGTTCTTGTTTATTTGCTCTTTGCTGTGAGGTGAATGTGTTGGATCATGCTTCAACACACACTCCATATAAGTACAGGCCACTTGTTTTGTTTCCTGTCAAGAGACACGGGTAGCCCTGTACACACAGGTACAATGTGTATTATAGGCTGTACCAATAAGCAGTGTTTGCTGTTTACAGTGGGTAGCTATTGTTGACACGCTAGCTCGTGTGAAGAAGCTTTCTCCACCTTCAACATTTTTTTTATTCTTGCACCATTACAATGTTTCATGTTCATTCAGTACAAATGCTTGTATATACTGTATTTTACTCTTGTTTCATTATGAATATATTTCTTAGGCCTAGAAGCAGTAGTAACTTGAGCAACCAGATGCTATTTTAGATATTGTAAAATCATTACATCATTCTTAATTGCAGACTTAAAATACATCTTGCCATATGCTATGGAAATCACCTCATATATTTCCAGAGAAGAATTATAAAAGTTATTTTTTGCTGATGAAGTTTGTCCCTACTGATATGAATATATTTATCTTGTGTTCTTCTGACTCCTCAGTCTTGTTTACATTGAGTTTGTTGGATATAATTATGTCATCCTCTATAACTTAATTTTCATTAATGTTCAGATGTTCATAATTGTTCATGGCAGCACAAGGGGTTAATGTCTTTAATGTAAGAGGGCTGTAAGCCACCTTGGTAATGTTATTCATCATATTGGAATGTATAATCTTTACCGACTCTTTAGTGTAATTTATTTTACAGATGTGAGTGATGAACTGACTATCACAGTTGTTCATGAAGCGTTACCAAGAAAAAGACGAAAATTCTACAGATTAGAAAATGGTCCAACAACCAAATTGGCAGCTAATATTTATGGTGCAAATAGTATATACAGTACAAGAAATGATGCTACGAACCAATTTATTTCTAAAAAATTAAAAAGAAAGAGAGTGCCTGAACTTAGTAGTGATATGTATTTTTCAACAGACAAGAAAAAAAAGTTATTAGAAAGTGGCAATGTGTCTGTAAGTAACAATAACAATATTACATATGCAAATTGTGTCAAAAGTTGGGTGACGTCTGAAGGGACTGCTCAGTGCGGAGTAGAACGGCCAGCAAAGAAAAAATCTCTACACTTGTCGGCAGATGTGAGAAACAGTGGTACTGAGGATGAGCTCAGTGATGACACTAACCATGGCAACCCTGGGCTAAAGATAGCAGATGAGGATGAGGGAGAAGATGGGGATGAAGATGACGACGACGAGGATGAGGACGATGATGATGGTGAAGATGATGATGATCAGGAGGAGGAGTTAGAAAATGGGGAGGAACACTCAGAGGTTGCGGAAAACAATGAAGAGGAGGGGGAAAAGGAGGAAGAGGAAGAGTCGAGTAACGACGATACAAGTAGCGAGAGTGACGAGGATGACGGCTCGGCCTCGGAGCAAGATGAAGATGCCAAGAGTGAAGCACAGTCATGGTCAGGTATGGAACAAGAGCAAGAAAATGACAATGATGACAATGAAGATGAGGAAGATGAGGGAGAGGAGATTGCATCAGGTGTGTAGTCAAGGGCGTCTTTATAGCTTACATTACACAGTATATTGGCGGCCTCCTAATACATTGGAGTAGTTGTGGTAATCTCTTTCCTCTTATAATAATTATCACAAAGTTTTATTTTATTAAGTTGTTATTTAATTTATACAGTACAGTATATGGCTTTTCATTAAATATCCTCTTGTGCTAATGAATATGTATCACAGTTAAATAATAACTGCAGATAATAATTAAGTAATAATTTTATAAAACCCTAAAAGCAAGTTGATATTCTTTCTCACTCTTATTTCTAAAAAAAAAAACTACAGTTTTCATATAGGAAAAATACAAAGAAAGAAATTTTCAGATTGTGGCCACTTAGCCAATGTTGTGTGGCCTGTCCTTGTTACTTCATGGTTAAGTTTAGATTTGGGTTAAACAAAGTTGCTAAGCAAGGCATGTCTTTATTGTTCCACGTTTTACACTCATGATGTATATTTCCCAAATTAGCTATGGACAGCTGAGGGTGTGGTAGCAATAACGGTGTCCCGTGTTAAGCAGTTATATTGAAGTGAATTCATAAGAATTAGGTGTGGGGTAAGAGGATAATTGCCTAGTTCGTGGCAAGGACGTGTCATGAGCCAGCGTTACCATTGATCCCGGGTGTATCAGTTTTGCTACAGGTTTTTGTTTTCCACAGTTTAGTACCATCACTTGTCCTTAAGAGCTAAGACATCAAAATGATTTTTGTAGAATATTTTGTCGAACTGGTAAATTTGTAATTTCCTTCTCAGTTTTTTCCTTCTACAATAAATTGCTACATTGCTTTCAATATATTGCCATGCTTATTTCACGTTACGTATTGCGTAAAAGTTATTTTTATATTTGTTGTCATTCTGTAATGTATACCAGCAGATGAAAAATGTGATCGTCCTCCTCAAAGGCCAGAGTCATCATTGAGCAAAACCTCTAAAGCAGAGGCTGTACTAGAAAACTCCAAATCTAAGATAACGCCACAACAGCAGTTGCAGGCTCCGAGCAAGCTCACTCCCAAGGCCGAGTCAAATGGACAAATCCCACTCCAAGCTGGTTTGTATTGCTGGCTTGATTTATATTTTTTAATGAGAGCTCAGTATTTGTTTCAGTATTATTGATGAGTGAGGACCAGTCTACACTTTTTACGAATCAACATCTCAAGCCTGTTTAGTTGATCTTTAGATTTTAAATATATTGTGGCTCAGCTTCATCATTTTGAACTCTTTCTCTTTTATTTGAAACTATCATAAATGAATATGTATGAGTCCTGCACTCACAACATCCTCACATACTCATAACATCTTCATACACTCATAACATCCTAACACACAAATTACATTACTGGAAAATAAGCTTGGAATTAAGATAACTTGTATATTGATGGTCTTGATTCAGTATTATATTTGACATAACTGAAATGTAAATGGTAAGGAATTTTATAAAGTAGATATTTTACATTTGACAGTACAATATCCACTCCAGGGCTGGATCTAAATGTTTTTGGGCCCCTAGGCCAAAACGGCTAAATGGGCCCCATACTCAGGTCAATGAGGCTATTCAAAGGTTAAACATATGCATATATTCAGCTGGTTGGATTCTGGTGCTGATGTACCCCAGGCCATGGCTTACTTTGCCTAGTAGGTAATGCAGATCTGATCCATTCAGTTTAACGACTTACATGGGGCTATACTCTACTCATTAAATTTGTTAAAATTATATTCGGGAGGGCAACACCTCAATAACTTGGTAAATAAGGCTCCAGTTATTGATGTCAAATTCAGCCTTCAGAACCATCAGAACGGTAAATCAGAGGTCCTTAAATAGAGTGGATGCTTTCTTTGTTAAATTAATGCTAATGTAAGGATCTCACACAGTTCAAATAGTAATGTATAGCTTCATATAGAAATACTCAGTAACTTTCTTTTCTTTAAAAAGGTGGAGAATGTGTGTCACCTCAAGTAGCTGAGGCGATGCTGATGCAGAGCCCCCTGGCTACCTCCCTGCTTCAGTCCTTCCTCGCTACTTCACTTTGGTTTGGCTCACCTGAAACATCAAAGAAGAAAAAAACAGGTGTTCAATCTAAGCCAAAACACACACACCAGGTAATTTAGCCATTTTATTCAAAGAGTGTTTTATATGATAAAAATGGTAATTACCTAAATGTAGTTACAGGATGAGAGCTATGTTCATGGTGTCCCATCTTCCCAGGGCTCTCTCATATGACACTTTGAAACTACAGTATAGTACTGATGGTTTTAGCCTCTACCACCTTGCCACTTAACTTGTTCCAACTGTCTACCACTCTACAAAAGTGAACTTTCTAAGGTTATTTTGGCAGCTTTGTTTCCTTACCTCTTGGAGAACTGTTAATGAAGATAGATCTTACTGCCAAAGTGCAAAAAAATTTAACAAATTAATTTTTATGATAGAATTATTATTGGTATGGAAAAATGTAAGAAAAACACACAAAAAAAGTGAATATTTATCATTTCACTGGGTGGAGGCAGTCTGGAAAGTTGCCTGATAGCTGTGTCTGGTGCCTGTCAACACCCGGTGCTCAACTTTGCTGACACTTCCTGTTTTATCCTCGGGTGTTTCACTGATTCTTTATCACTTGTTTTTCTTTATTTACAAGATGATGTGTGTTGAATAACTTGATCAATTACATAATGCACATAACACAATTGTTTCAATAACATGTTTCAATTGATGACTGGTTTACCTGGTATATGCCATTACAACCATAGAGAGTAAGGAAAAGAATATGAACATAATATTCAATGGTGTTGGGCTCTGGACGATGACATATTGCCAAATTGGCACCATATGGGTAAGAGTATAGATTGAAAGAAACGCATAAGCTACTAATATGGCGCACACATGACAGCAGGCTCTTCCTAATACATGTAACCATGAAATGGTGGCAGTATTTTTTATTGGGGGGGGGAGCAAGGTAAACTACATTACATCCACAGAGAGCTATTATATTCATATTTGCATCATACACGTAAAACCCAGACAATAATTGTTTAAATCAATTTATGACGATAACTGCTCTCCAATGGTTGATTGGAACCTATGGCCTCTTGTTCTTGAAGTTGCAGTTTCAGAGTCCTGTTAATATTTTGTATGTAGTGATCATATCACCTCTTTTTCTTCTATCTTATTACTTTCATATATTTGATGCCTCTAACATCTCTTCATAGCTCTTGTTTTTCAGTTACCTGAGCTCATTTGTTAAATGCTTTATGATGTAGAATATAGCCATGTTTTTAGCCCTATATTATTTACTATCTATATTGATCCATTATTGAAAGAGTTAGGAGCTAGTCCAGCTGGCTGTCACAGGCAGTACTAATGCCAATATTTTCTGTTTTGCTGGTGATATAGTTCTACTCACATTAACCAGAGAAGCTATGGAAACCTTGATAGAAATGCATGAAAGATATAGTGCAGAATACAACCTAACGTTCAATTTTGACAAATGTGCTGTAGTTCCCTTAACTCACAGGATTCGTTTATATTGATTTCAAATTAAAAATTACCAGAGAGAGAGGTTCCAGTAAAGTATTCAGAAAAGCTTCTGGGACATATTATTTCCTCAAAAGGCCCACTTGTCAATTTTTCTATTGTTATTAGAGACCTAAAAGTTTGAGCAAATGTCGTTATCATTAAATTTGGTTATCTTGATTCCTGGTTGAAAGTAAAGTTAATAAACACTATCGCACTCCGTTGCCTACGCCTGTCGTCACTCATTTTCTCTTGAGTCGTCTTGGGTGACGAGGTCCGGAGTCACTCATTAAAATATTTGTTAAAAATTTTAATTTTATCCGATCAATCTGGGAGGGATTTCAAAATGAGCGCCTTTAGATTGTGCACAATTTGATACCAAAATGAAAGACGTAACACGAACATTTATGTCAGAACACTGGAAAGATATAAATAATTTTGTGGTGATGAGCGTCCAAAAGTGTCCAAAAGTTAAAATATTTGTTAAAATTCCATTTATTGTTCTATTATTATGGGACTAGTATTAAAATATGCACCTTTATATTGCGAATGATTTGGTACCAAAATGGAACACGTAACACAAAATTTGTTATCAAACTGAACGAGTATACACATTAGTCTGTAGGTGTGCCAATTGGTGCTCGTTCACGGATAACTTGGCTGACTAGGCTTTGCTGTGGGGAGTCAGGACGGGCTTTTGGACCTTATATACATATACCCTTTTAGGGAATTCTATTGTGAACACAATGATACCAAAACGAACGACATAGCACGGGATTTTAGGCGAGAAGACTGAAACGAGTATACACGTTTCGGTGTCGCCGCACGCTCGCCCGCACCGAACGGCGAGAGATAGTGTTAACAGTCATTATCTAACCTTAAATGGATGTGAATTAGGAGACGCTCAAACTGCAAGTACGGTATACCTTTTTTTTTTTGTCACCAAATTCATCTTTTTTCCTTTCTGTATTTAGGTTCCTGATGATGTGACGAGTGAAACGCTTGCAGTGACTGCGGGCTCAACAAAAGATAAAAAGAAGCGTCAGGAGTTGAAAAATACTGGCCAGAGCTACATAAATACTAAAGGAAAACTTGTTGATGCCAAACGAGTGTGGCCACAAGACTGCAGCAGGTGTGTAGTATAAATATTGTGGGTGGTTTGATTGTATGTTTTAAAAAGTCTACTTGAAAAATATCATTGTTATTACTGTGTTAGCCCAAATGATGCCAGTGCAGCTGCAAAGGCAAAACTACAAGAGAGTAGAAAAATAATAGAGACCAGTCACAGGTAAATTAGTGTCTTGTAATTTTGAAGTAATTAGCTGAAACTTGATAAGCACCATCATTACCACTCAGAAACATGAATATGCTTTTAATGAGATTATTGGGTGCAGAGGTCACAATGAAGGGTCAGAGGTGAAACTGAACAATGACTTCCTGCTTTTTGGTGCTGGCTTTTTCTTTTTCTTTCTTTCTGTGTTATGTGCATAACTGAAAAGTGGATAATAACGAAAAAAATACAACCTTTGCTTGGGAGGGAAGGAGGGAGGGAGGGAATTATTAGGGGAAAGCGCCAAGCTATCACAACTATATAGTCACTTGCTTGGGAACTAAATAATGAATCCCTACCTAAGCTAAGAAGTGTGACTATTGGATACATGTCTATGGGGAACTGCACTACAGTATGTAGTGGTTATATGGTGCCCATGCCCATATCTCTAGAAACTGGGAGAAAGAAAAAGTGCAAAGACATGCAAGTAAACAGCTTTTGGGACTGAGAGACAAGAGCTACAAAGTGAGGTTAGAGGTGTTAAATATACCAAAAGCTAGAAAGAAGAAAAAGAAGTGATAAGAACAATATATACAAAATAGTAACAAGAATCGACAAAATTAACAAGAAGAATTATTGAAACCTACATCTTAAAGAACAATAGGTCCTAGATTCAAGACTTAATAAAGCTTCCAAACAAAAAAAAAAACATTAGAAAGCTCTCTTTTGCAGAGTGGTAGATAGTTGGAACAAGTTAAGTGAGAAGGTGATGGATGCCAAAACCATCAGTGCACTTCTTTCAAAGCGTTATATGACAGAGTACTGGGAAGATGGGACACCACGAGCTTAGTTTCATCCTGTAATTATATTTAGGCACTGTAATTACAGACTCGTATCTGGGACCGAAAAACTTTCATTCGGTACTGCTCAGTATTCTCATAAAATATCTAGGTTACACTGTATATTATTTTCATCTCATGTTTACTTTCCTGGAGGGCTTGCTTTCATAAAGTTTTTATTATAATTTTATTTTGCCAGGTGTCCCCTTAAATGCAATGCCCGCATCAGTGAAGATGACCGTCAAAAGATCTTTGCTGAATATTGGGGCTTGGCCGACTACAACCTTCAGAGGGAGTACTTAGCAGCACACATGCAGCGTGAGGAGAAACTGGGGCCCAGTGGCCTACTCCGCACTGTCATTCTGTATTTCCTTACATGTGGTAACACCAGCAAGCTGCAGGCAAGTACTTCAGTCTTCACTGAATCAAAAACACATGGCTACTTTCTCCATAATTTCTTCCATACTTTATTTACTTTTTAATCCATATTTGCTTTTGTCATCATCATAACCATGTACTGTATCCCTATTTTATTGGTTGGGAAGACATTTACATCAAGAAAATAGATCAGCACGGCAAAAAAAAGGTTAAAAGAAATTCAAAATATCACCTGTTCATTTGCCATATCTTTCGCACCAAACAGAATTATGAAGAACTAGCACCATCACACTCCAATAACTCATCTGTGTGTAAAGTGTTCCTCTTGAACTGTCAATTACAAACATTCATTCAATCACAAACAACAAACTGCTTCTAACTAATCTGTTTCCCTATAACTTCTCTTGCACTGTTCACAATCGATCTCCACATGGACCTGGATTGTACCTGGATGAGGTTCCAGGTGTTCTTCTACTTTCCAAGGTCGCTTCTGAGAGCATGGTCCAACAGGTTGTTGCTTAGAGCAGCCCACAGGACCACATATCCACTACAGCTCGGTTGGTCTGGCACTTCTTGCAAAAAATGTCCATTTTTTCCTTGAAGACTTGCATTTTTGTTCCAGCAATATTTTTTACACTTGCTGGGAGGATATTGAACAACCATGAACCTTTGATGATCCTGGTGTTCTCTGATTGTGCCTATGGCACCTCAACTTCTCACTGGTTCTATTCTGCATTTCTTTCCATATCATTCACTCCAGTACGTTGTAATTGTACTGTGTAAATTTGGGACCTGATTTTTCCATGTACAGTATATATTATTTGATATCTCTGTCATCTCCTTTGTAGAGAGTACCTTTTGAGAGCTTTGAAACGATTCCAATAATTTAGATGCTTTATCGTGTTTGTGCATGCTGTATGTGTTCTCTTTATTCCTTCTATTTCAACAATCTCTATTGCTTTGAAGTGGGAAGTGAGTATCGAGTAGTACTCATGGCGGGACAGCACCTGTGATTTGAATAGTATGAGCATTGCGATAAGATTCATCTAATACACTCCTCACTATACAGTTGGTGTGTATTCACCTAGTTGTGTTCACTTAGTTGTGCTTAGAGGGGTTGAACTCTGCTCTTTCGGCCTGCCTCTGAACTGTCAATCAATCAACTGTTACTAACTACTAATTTTTATTTATTTATTTTTTCCACACATACACGCTCCCAGGAAGCAGCCCATAACAGAGGTCTAACTCCCAGGTACCTATTTACTGCTAGGTAACAGGGGCATCAGGGTGAAAGAAACTGCCTATTTTTGTTTCTGCCATCACCAGGAATTGAACCCAGACCCTAGGATTACGAGTCCAGAGTGTTGTCCGCTCAGCTATCAGGCCCCGTGTCCTTGTGCATGTGTGTATTGAAGGTTACAGTTAGCAAATCAGCCACTTGAATCAGTCATATTGAAGTTTGTGTGCAGAGGGATAATAAAACAGCAGACAGTAAAACAAGTAGAGCATAAGCAAATGATGAGTCACAATAACGAGGCTGAAGAATGTTGACCAAACCACACACTAGAAGATGAAAAATTATGATGTTTCGGTCCGTCCTGGACTGTTATCAAGTCGATTGTGAAGAGACGAGAAAGGCACGGGCATAAGTAAGGCAAGAAAGAGGTGAGGAGGAAATCTTGGAGGAAGATAAAAGTAAGGTGAAAGATAGGGGTAATAAAGGAATGGAGGAGGTAATAAGGGTTTGAAGGGGGAATGAAAGTTTGATAAGTTTGTCAATTCTAACTAGTACTGTTTTGGACCTGTCTGCCTTCAGGGGCCCTTATCCCTGTTCTTGATAATTTGGTTTCTAAAAATCAGCACCTTCCTTATTGCTTCCAGCTTGCCCTTGCCTCCCTGACATCCAACAACTCTATTCTTATCCTTCCTTCCCTTTATTACCCCCCTCCATAAACTTTATTACCCCCCTCCCTCCATATCCTTTATTACCCCTATCTTTTGCCTTGCTTTTCCCTTCCTCCAAGATTTCCTCACCTTTTTCTTGCCTTATGCCCGTACTTTTCTCGTCTCTTCACAATAGACTTGATAATGGTCCACGACGGACCGAAACATCGTAGTTTTTTCATCTTCTAGTGTGTGGTTTGATCAACAAGTATAGTATAAAGCATCAGCAACATCTAGTTTAATGCAGTGTCATCATTTAATATATAATTGTGTTTATCATCAGGTATGCCGCCAATTTTTCCTCAAGACCTTAGATGTGTCTGAAAAAGCATCAAGAATTGTCTTAGAAAAGATGGTACGTGGAGAGTTAGGAAGCGAGGGGGGTGCCGTCTCTCCACCACCAGGTAATGCTCGGCCTCACTCTTCACAAGAAGACCAACTCTCCAGTAAACATGAAGATGAAGCAAATATGAGCAATGAAGATGATGAAATAAAGAGCGAGGGCTCATCGTGAACTTTAATTGTAGCTTGTTTTGTTACTGTATCTGGGGTATTTTTATTTTTGTCACATTAGTTACTTGATAGCGTGCTGTCTATACCTAGCCTGAGCCTATTATAGGGGGACTTCATAATAGACAATTTATATGAACTTAACTGTATTAGAATCTAGTATTCATAATCATGGTGAAGGGGAAAAAAAATTGTACCGAAAGTATGTTGATGTCTGACTTGATGGTTTGGTTTTCTTTCGGGCGGCTTTCAGTTTTTTAACTTGAGTACCCAGCTGGAGGCCAAGCTGGAGGCCAAGCTGGAGGCCAAGCTGGAGGCCAAGCTGGAGGCCAAGCTGGAGGCCAGGCTTTACTAGTAACTACATGGTCAGCCAGGATATTTGCATACAAGGCAATATTATACAAATTTTTGTATGTTTAGAGTGTAAAATGGGGAAAAAAAAGGTTTGGAGCCTGAGGGTAGTGTGCCTAGTTAAATGTGGGAACTTGTATCAGTAATTGACATGCCAAAGTCTGCATTCCTCAAATTCAAGAAGAAATATATGTATTAGTTTTTCCTTATTTTATAGGGAATTATTTCAGGCTAAATAAATAAGGATTGACTTCAAGGTTGAAGGCGTACAGGTATTTTTGTATGTACTGTATGTATGCACATATAAAAACACATTCATGCATGCTTACTCATATTTATGCATGTATGCTCACCAAATTGTACATACACACACACATCCACTGAAAATTTTTGTTTAATTTTTTATGATAAAACAAAGATGGAAGACATTGAACATAGCGCTATACTCCTGTAACCATAAATACTACACAACTTCAAAGTGGCAGCCACACTGACTCAGATACCCACACCTACTTAAAGCAACTAAATGTTACTTTTTTTTATTCTTTTTTCTTTTTTAGTAAAGGTATTAACTAGAGAAGACATGATCAGGCTATGCAAGATATTAAGAAGTTGAGAAAAGATATGCACAGCCTGTCTCAAAGGGACAGTTTCTCATTGCCATACAAAAGAAATTTAGACAAGCCATTTCTCAGTGCAACTCAAAACAGTTGACTAACTCCTAGGTACTTGCGTACTTTTGGGTAAACAAAGGAATCGGGTTTAGAGAAACGTGCACAAATATCTCCCTCTACCTGGGTATGAAACAAGTGGAACAAACAAGAAGACAGAAGTGCTAAAGGCTAATATTCATCCATAAGTTTAAAAGTAATATGATAAAAAATTAGAAGGCCATGTGTAGTTGCACCAGACTATTGATAGCCAAGTGATGGTGTCCACAAGCTGAATGTATTCACACACATACTGTAGTTGCTGTAATAATTAATGTGTATACACACACATGTACTGTACTTAAAAGCACACACACATATGCGTGCATTATACGACAAAGTGTACTGGGACACCACGAGTGTAGTTCTCATCCTGCAACTACACTTAGGTAATTACACACACATACACAGGCACACACACACACACACATACACATACAGGCATGCGTGCTGACAGATACTTTAATATACAGTACTTGCTTATATTCACACACATGCATATATATATTTATATATATTTAAATATTTATAAATTTTTTGTATTTATTGTTAAGCTCTACCGTTTTACATAAAACTTAAGATGTAATGGCAAATTTAATACTGCAAGAAATAGCAATTATTATTCAGTCAATTTTATGCCATATGGTTGTGATATCTGATACTTGGGCAGAAAGTCAAGATTTATTTACTAGTTCATCAGAACCATGTATTACTGTATTTAAGAGTGTGGCACTTTACAATTTTAAAATATATTCACCACAAATCCCAATATACATTTTTCTCACACAAGCTATATTCTTTGCTTATAGATTCCCTTGTGTTTGTTTATTTGTGGCCTTGCCTCCTGTTTATATTAACATAAGTGTGTGTGTGTCATGTACACCTTTTTTCATGTTGAGCACAAGCAGGATCCCAGGAGCCTATAATTCTACGACTTCACACTGTCAAAAAGCCCGCACCTACGGGTTCCAGACAGAGATCGTCACAGTTCCCTTTCATCCGAGGCCGACTTCCTTCAAAACCAAGCAGAAGGAAGAGTAATAATTAATTAATTATATTTTTATTATAATAATAATTATAATAATTGTTGTGATTATTTGCCAGCATGTAATTAATTGTTGTTGCTGGCTTCCTTCAAGACCAAGTAGAAGGAAGAATAATAATTATTAATTTTATTTTTATAATAATAATTGTTGTTGTAATTAATAATTATTACTCTTCCTTCTGTTTGGTCTTGAAGGAAGCCGGCCTTGGGTGAAAGGGGGACTGTGACGATCTCCAGTCCGGAACCCGTAGGTGTGGAGCACGGAAGTCCACCCAGGCTCTGCTTTTAGGAGAGCTGGGGTCGTTCTTGCCCTTCCTGAAGTGGTTCTTCTACATTCCCGACCGCGGCCGTCTCCGGGTTTGGGGTCCCTGTGCCTTCTTTTGCACAGGGACCCCAAACCTGGAGACGGCCAACTTCGAGGTTAACTCCGGAGCTAGAGCCCAGGGCAGTTCGTTGTTGCCTTCAACCTCATTCTGATAATTCCTGTGATGGCGCTGGAACCAATCGTATTGGCATTTTTTGCCTTTCCATTGGAGAGGCTCGGCGCCGTGGAGAGGGGAAACCTGGTGCTTGGGTAACAGTTTCTTCCCCGTATCAACCTACCTTGGCTTTGCGCCCTGTAGAGGCCACTCCAGACCGATATCCAAAGCGCAACTCCATAGTCTTCCCGAGACTGATGGATGCCTACTACTGCTATACTGTCAAGAATTGAAGATAAAACATTATGTACACTGAAATCACAGTAACAAAATAAATCTGCAGAAAATCTTTGCAGCAGCGTCATCTGTGGTAGTCACCTTATCACCTTATCTACAAGGTTACTGCAAAATGTTTAGGGTTGGTCTTTGACACCCGTTTGTCTTTGTCACGCCATGTTGCACATCTCAAAGTTGCCTGCTCTAAGGCCCTAACCTTACTTAAAGTTTTGTCTTATATATCTTGGGGGGGGGGGGGGGGCTGATAGGTGTGTGCTGTCTGTTTGCACTCTTATTGTTCTCTCTAAACTTGATTATGGCTGCTCTGCCTATTCCTCGGCCCTTTATCGTCTTGATCCTCTGCACCATACTAGCACTTTCGCGCTTTGGACACGCGAGCGCCATACTACCCCAGGTGGGGTTGGGCATTTCATGGGAGCGAGCGGTAATTCCGAAAAGTGTATACTCTTTTTCAACTTAGCGTGTACTCTTTTTCAACTTGGTCACCTCAATTCTCGTCCTAAGATATTAAATTTGGTATCAGTGTGTTTGCAATAGAATTTTCTAGAAGAGTAAATGCATATAAACTCCAAAAGCCCTGCTTACCACCCGCAGCAAACAGAGAAAGTGAGAACGAGTTACCCGGGTATGCGTAAGAGCAATAAAATGTGTACACTCTTTTCACTTTGGTTACCTCAATTCTCGTCCTAGGTCTTTCATTTTGGTATCAATGTGTTCGCAATAGAATTCCCAACAGGAGCATATGCATATAGTGTAAAAAACCGTGGCGTGCTCCACCCGCCGACGTGATGAAAGCAGGCAGCGGTTACCCAGAAGAGAGGGCCCGGCCTTCCATTAGAGAGTGCGGTAATACTGAAAAGTGTATACTCTTTTCAACTTTGTCATCTCGATTCTCATCCTAGGTTTTTCAAATTGGTGTCAATGTATTCACAATAGAAATCTCTACAGGACTAACTGCATAGAGAGCCCTAAAGCCCAAGGAGACAGTGAGAGCGTGTTACCCGGAAGCGGGCAAAAGCAATAAAATGTGTACTCTCTCTTCACTTTGGACATCTCAATTCTCATCCTAGGTCTTTCAATTTGGTATCATTGTGTTCGCAATAGAATTCCTAAAATATTGAGAGTTTTTTCCGCTTGGCAGCCTACATAACGTACCTGCCTGCCCCAAGTGGACCTGTCCAGATCTGGTCAAGCCAAACAGCCCATGTGCTCCCAACCCTCGTGTTATACCAGTGCCACGCCATTAGTGAAACTTTTTTTAAATTACTTTTTTTGTTTTCATAGTAACTTTTATCAATTTTGGCCAAGACTATGGTAGCAGCATCAATCGTTCTGGAGGCGGAGGATGAAGACAGCAGGGAGGAACCAACACCACAGACAACAAAATACAGTTTACTCGTGTCTTCTGTTGACCTGTTAATTCATTTTTCATCCAACTGTGCTCATCCAGAAGTTGGACACATTAATCAGTACCTGAGGTAAACCAAAGAGCTGATCATAAAGCAGGCCAATGAACACAAAAAACAAGCTAAACTTGATTCTTATTTGGTAAGAAAAGCAACCAAAGGCCCTCCAACCAGTGGGCCTCAAAGGCAATCCAAGCGCCTTCAACCAGTGAGGTGTCGCAGGCAAGCTATGTGCCTTCAACCAGTGAGGCTTCAGCAACTGGCAGTCAAAACTAACTTTGCCTCTTGAACTGTACAGTAAGCTGGCGATGAGTCACAATAACATGACTCAAGTATGTTGACCAATCCACACACTAGAAAATGAAGCGACGACGACGTTTCGGTCCGTCCTGGACCATTCTCAAGTCGATTGTGAATGGTCCAGGACGAACCGAAACGTCGTCGTCTCTTCATTTTCTAGTGTGTGGATTGGTCAACAACTGTACAGTAATTTTAAGTGTTAATTTTAGTGTTTTGTTAGAATAGGTTACATAAATTGTCAAGAATTCCTAACTTCAAGATCTGTAGCATCAATGAAGAAGACGAACTACAACAAGGTAAGTTGAGGTTTCTAGTTGAATATTTTATAATTATATGTAGCAGTTCAGATTACAGTATGTTGTTTATGGTATAAAAATTGTTGGGAATGGTCACTTTTGGAATTCCACGGTGAAAAGTACGTTAATCTGGAAAACGTGCTAATCTGGCTGGGGGTCCTTCCCATATAGTCCGGATTAGCGGGTTTATACAGTACAGTATATATAGTAGGCAAGCAGAATCACAGGAGCCTATAATTCTACAGCACACGACAGTGTGAAGCACATTAACACATTTCTACCGGATCATTCAAACTACTACCGTAAACATTGTCAGGATCATTAGGCTGACGTCACTGGTAATCAACTGTGTGCTCTTAAGTGTGACCTTTTTCCTTGGCCTTTCCCCTGTCACCATAATAGGCATTGGGAGACAGTTCGGGCTAGGTTGCATATTGGTCACACCCACCTGACTAATGGTCACTTAATGTAGCAACATCCTGCTCCCTTTTGTCCAGACTGCATTGCCCCACCTAGTCTTGCACCTTCTTGTTGAGTGCCCTGATTTTCAAGTTGTTTCAGTGTTTTACTTTCCTAGTGTCCCTAGGGGTCGGTCAGCATCCTTGGTGAATCAAATACCTTTGATATTGTTCACCTTCTGCTCAATTATTGGTATCTTGAATATTTAGTTGAATACTGTACCATAATATTTATTTTGAATACTGTACCTTGCGACTTTAGACGATTCTGCCGTCTTCCCGGCTCGGCTCCATTTTTTAATAATTATTTACTTACCACACTGTATTGAGAGTGAACAGGTTGTATACCGTTTCCAGGAATTCTTACCACACAAGCCGGCTTCACATATTTATAGTCTCTTAACAAGTAATTTAATTCCACTCCTTAATCTTTGCATGAATTTAAATACATGTACTCTCTGTAATCATTGCTAAACAAATTTATTAAATAAAAATGCATCACTTTTTTTTTCTCCAAATACTGTATTCACCTTTACAGTACACTACTTGTTTCTGTATGTATTAACCCATGTAGTGCAGCTATGGTCAAAGGGGCACCTCTGCCTGTGCAGAAAAATAAATTAGGAAATGATACATTTGCATTCAAAACTAAGAGAAATAACACACATCTAAGTCTTTGTACGTATTCTGGAAGGTTGCTGGGTGAGGGGAGTCATTTGGTCAGTACTCGCCTAGTTGTGCTTGTGTGGGTTGAGCTTCGGCTTTTGGTCCTGCCTCTCAACCATCAATCATGGTAATTACCTATGTGTAGTTACAGGATGAGAGATACGCTCGTGGTGTCCCATCTTCCCAGTACAGTACTGTCATATAACGCTTTGAAATTACTGATGGTTTTGGCCTCCACCATCTCATTAACGTGTTCCAACTGTCTACCACTGTTTTCGAAAGTGAATTTTCTTATATATTACTGTACTTGTATAGGTGTGCATGTGTTCTTATATGGTGTACAGATTCCTGCCTATTAGGCTCTTATTATATCTACATTTGAAACTATGTATGGAGTTTGCTGCCACCACATCACTGCCTAGTGCATTCCATTTGTTAATTGCTGACACTATAAAAAGTTCTTTCTAATATCTTTATGGCTTATCTGGGTACTCAGTTTCCACCTGTGTTAAACTGTTTATCTAATAAATCAATTCCTGAGAATCTTGTATATGGTGATCATGTCTTACATAACTTCTTTCTTCCAGACATGAGGTTCAGTTCCTGTAGTCTCTCCTTGTAACCCATCAGCTCTGGTACCAGTCTGGTGGCATACCTTTGCACCTTCTATAATTTAGTTTTATGCTTGACTAGATATGGGCTCCTTGCTAGAGCAATACTTTTTTGGTGCAACATGTGCCCATTACAATGGGCATATGTGGAATAACTTTATTTACACAATTGGCAAAAACAGTCAACCACATCCAACAGTCACAATAGAGCTCATTTGGAACCTTGTATACCTCATGTCAGACCAATACTGGAATATGCAGTTCCAGCATGGATTCCATACCTAAACAAAC